CAGTTTTGGGTTTCATTTTTACCAAGAATGCTACTTTATAATTCATGGTCTTATTCATTCCTTTAGGTGCTCCATTAGAAACCAGTACAAGTCAGACATCCTGTGTTATACACGCTCTCATCTAGGTTTATAAAATACATCGGAAGGAGAAAGGAAGCACTTAGTTAATGCTTTTTTTGCTGAATTTCTGGATTTGCTCAGGCTTTTAGAGGTTCATGTTTCCTAGTTTCGTCAGTGCAGTGACCTGAAAGCAAAACTAGGTTGATTACTCAATCTTTCATTTCCACTTTTTCATTTCCCTGTTTTAAAAAGCCAGTGACTAGGGAAGGCAGTATCCTCAGGGGTGCCTAACTTCCACATTTTTAAGAGCACACTTTTTTTTTAATATTCTTGCATCAGTCTTCTGATTAGCTATCTACCAATAAGATGAGTTTTCATATGTCAGTTACAATCTTTTGTGATCTTATTAATAATAAACGAATAATTGCTTCCATATTATCTTCTTTTTAAAAACGTTCTTTGAAGTTAATTGAACAGACTCCCTTTTTCCCCTCTGTCCTTCACTAAACGTGATGACAAGGAGCTATTTTTAGTTTCTCTACACTAGATGCGACCATACTTCCATATCTTTTGCTGACCCTACAAGCAGAGAACTTAGAGGCAGTTCCTCTTCTTTCATAATAATGCCGACTTGCTTAAGCCAGTGCCAGAATATTTACAGGTAGCCACTTACAAACGGTTATGTTTCAAGAATTCATATTTAATCTGAGCTTTGGAATTTGAAATGCACTTCTCCTGAAAAATAATTTCAAAATGGTAATATAAAGGATAAGTTTCTAGGTGACCCTTTAAAGACCTATTTAATATAATGCTGAAATACTACACGTTTATGATGAAAAACATTAGGTAAATCGCCTTTCAGATGCATACTAGTTCCACCACATGGGTTTTAAATAGGACTTGTGGGTATTTGTTTGGGTCCCTAAACTCCTTTGTGTGTGTGAGATAGTAAATAGTGGTACCATAAAGGTGTTCCCATCAAGGCTGCGGTGAGAGAGCCACTGTGAGCGCCTGGAGGAAGCCACTATGAGCATATTTTACTTCTTGAACAGCTTCCCATCCCCCTTCGGAGCGATAATTGCTTTATTTTTCTGTTTACTTTTTGTTTACTGTTGTGTCTATCGCTAATTCTCTCCTGCATGTCAGCAACCAGCCACTGGCATGTGAGACATTCTTAAATCACATATTTGTATATCAGTAGTACCTTTATGCCCTTACTAGTTACAAAAGTAATCTTAAGTGAGGGAGTGAAAAGTTTGTATAGTTTGCAATTTCCTAAGTAGAAGTTAATGTTGGAAAGTGCTTTTTTGATGCATTTACAGATAACAGTCACATATTTAGTGATGATTTTTGTGTTTGTTTTTTCTCCTTTGTATGTTTTTTTAATAATTGTTTTGTTTTATTCCTCAAATTATGGTTCTCTTTAGTTTTCAATGAAAGGAATTTAATTAACTTGAAAAAGCTACTCTAACATTAATAGTTAAAACAGATTTAACTACAGAGTCAAAAAAAATAAATTGTATTTGGTAAAAAATTAAAAATAGAACAAGAGATTTTGATTATATTGGAGCTGATTTTTTACCATTTGTTAACGTATATTCTTATGAGTATAGTATGATTTTTGGTAAAATGATATTTTGGAAGATTACATATAGAACATAGAGAAGCATGGACATATAGAACATAGAGGAGCATTGGATTCTAGGAGGTGTAGGTTCTAATTCTCTTTCATTCTAGATATATTTCTCAGGTCTGGAAGCTTGTTCCCTTATCTACGAAAGGGGGCCGTGAAACCAGCTTGCCTCACAGGGTCACCAAAGGTTTACATAAGATTGATTGGCAGTGTATGCCATATGCCACCATAGGAATGGGCTGTCAGAGGA